AAGAGGTCAAAGACAGCCCAAAAGAAAAAGAACCAGCGCCATCTACACCTGCACAACCCGTACAAGCTGCTCCACCTACCTTGCCAGGCGTGTTTTCAGTAAAATGCCCTTTATTAACTGTTGGATTAATCTGCTTTTTTAGCCCCCGCACCTAACCCGCCTCCATTGCCACCAAAACAGACTATCCCGCGGAAAGCTTCTGCCCCGATCCCACCACCCCCGATGATTCCACTGCCACGTCAGCCGCTACTGAGCACACCACCGTCTGGGCCTGCAGGTGGGCCCCCAATGGGTGTGGGGCCACCACGAAAGCCACCACCTCTTCCGGATCACCGAGATCGAAGGTGGCCAGGCTAACTTTCTTCCATTTATTTTTTGGTTTTTGAGAACTTTTTGGTTCTTGTCCTCACCTTCTGTTAGACTCTCTTCAAATATCACTTAAGACCCTCCATGATTGGTGCGCCCCCGTTCCGTGGCAGTACCTCTTCGATACCACTGCCGAAAGGCCCGCCGCCTCCACAGGCTACACCTTCCTCTGGAGGAGGCACATGGATTCGACCACCGTCGCATATTCCTACGCAAAGCATAAGGTAGCATCTTTTTTCAATAAAAATGCTCATGAGGCTACCTACTGCACTACAATCACTCTCCAAGCGTTCAAATTTGAATTGCTAATCTTATGTGGATTCCAAATTCCAATGTTTGCCCTGCCACTTGATTTATTGAAGGCTATGGCCTGCCCATATATCGCCCTTGTCATCGTTTCTTCCGATGGGCGGCGCACTCAACTCGACAAAATTTGTAAACACTTATTATGGGAATTGATGGTAGTCGCGCCACATTTTAGCCCTTCTGACTTTTTCTAGAATTTCTGTCAAAAAGCAAGGAGTTTCTTTAGTTTAAGTGGATTTATTAGATTTACCTTTTTAGTTGAACATAGCTATCAACATTTTTGGAGTTTCTACATATCATTCAATATGTTCATTTAACTCGTACATAATATGGGTGTATTAGATCCATGATGGAACACAAGACTAGTGACTCCAGCTTTTCATAACCTTTTACCTGAAAATTGAAAATTTTTGAATTAACTGGCTTTTGGCTCCCAACAGCGAATATACGGACCAATGGCAGCTACTCAACTCCGCCCCTTGCTTTATAGTCCTTTGTTCCTGAGCATCCACCTTTAGCCTAAAAAAATTAGAATGAAACTATATTTATGTAACTTGCGCAGCTTCTTGATGGTTTGTCCTCTTCTGTTTCACAAAACTTTTGATTGTTTAGATCCCCGTCACCAGATCCGAATGCAATGCAAATTGATGATGATCTCAATAGCCCAGAAGATTCTCTACGGATTG